GGGGGGTGGGGCCCCTAAAGGGGCGTGGGCTGTGAAGGGAACCGCCTCTAAGGGCAGGGCGGGGCCTTGGAGAGACCCGAGGAGTCCGTGGGGTCAGCCTCGCCCCGCCCCGCCCGGCTTTGCCTTCTCTCTGCAGGATCTATTGGGGCTGCTTCTACTTTTTCCCGTGGCTGCGCATGTGGCGGAGGGAGCGGAGGTGAGGGGGCTGCGATGCCGCGGACCCTCCCGGGGCGTGGACCAGGCTCAGTCTTGGAGGACAGATCTGGGGGGGAATCCGGGAGACCCCGCTCAGCCTCATGCCAGTGTCGGGTTGCCCCACAGCTCGGCACACCCCCGGGAGCAGAAGCTGGAGCCTCTGCGGGGCCTGATGAGCTGTCTGTCAAGTGGCTTGGGCCCCGTACCCCAACGCTCGGGTCGCGCCCTCCCGCGCCGCACGCCCGCCGCCACTGCCCAGCCAGCCGGTGCATTAAAGATTTAAACTGAAGCCACCATGCTTCCCTCCTGACTCTGCCGTCGCTGCCGCCATTTGAGCTAGGAGCCCCTCTCCATGCTGGCTGTGTCCTTAACTGGCAGGGTCTCTCTCTTCTCAATAGAGTGCCCTCCCATGTCCAATTTCCTGTTATACCTGAGGGTCCCTCATCAGTGTCAGGCCCTCCTTACTATCAGTGACTGCGCTTCACCCCCTACACCTGCCCCCACCGCCATACACACTCATCTCTGAGGAGCCTGCATGGAAGGCTGGTCTTCCTCCTAACTTTATCCCCACTCATGTGTTCTCACAACCCCAGCTCTCTGCTACCACCTTCCTCCTAACCAAGACTTTACTAGAATCTTCTTTTCCTGGGAGTGGATCTAAAATATCTTAAGTCCAGAGTTGTGGAAGTAGGCTGTGAGGGGAGGGGAAGAGTCCTAGAAGCTGCCTCCCTCAGCCTGCCACAGGGGAATGGCTTGGACGGTTGGAAGTCTTTCCCTATGATTAATACCCCAACTTCCACCTCCTCCAGTCTGATCCCAAGTTTAAAGAACTGGCATCAACCCACCTAGCAGTTCTTGCTACCTCCCTAGAAGAACCAAAGGGCCACTGTTCCCTGTCATCCCTTTCTGTCTTGTCACCCATTGGACCCACTATCTCCTAAAGTGCTGAGGGTCAGGGACTGCAATGGGTCTACGTTTAGTTAGGGACTGGCCCCAGCACCAGAAAGGACACCAAAGAATTAAATTAGAGACAGCCCAGTTTGTGGGTTGGGGACAAAGCTAACTTTCAGCCTGGGGTTGCCCCTGCCATGGTAGGTTGTGGCTGAGGAGACTTGGCCCTATCTGTGAAGAAGCCAAGGGGAGAGATGAATGCATGGCTGCATACCCGGAAGACTTCATTTCTTGCCTTCTCAGGTCTCTGGACTGACTGGTCCAGGAGAGACCACAAAGTGTATGACAGACAGACAGCTGATGGAGATCTGTGACAAGACGATGGCACCTCAATTGCTGCCCCAAGCTCTGGGGCACAAGTCCAGACGAGGGTGGGAGAGAGACCCTAAGGCCTCTGGTACTAGAAGTTCAAGATGTCTCTGAGTTGTGGCCACCTTCAAAAATGGACCCAGGGTCTTGAACCATTATATCACAGTGTCTACATTAAGAACCCTAACAAAAGTGGAGTACCCTGTGCAGCCCTGAGCCTATACCTCACCAGGAAACTGTCAGAATTCCTGAGTATCCACAAGTCAAATTCCAGGGAAGGGCCTTCAAGTTCCATCCTGGACAGGAGGGAGAAGCTCCGATTGGTCAGCCTGAGAAGGGAACTAACTAGTTTCTACTCTTGGAGCTGATGGTCCCTCCTGATTGTTGCAACAGTCCTGCAGCAGTACAAGATGCCCAGCAAAGGTGTGAGTCCCTGTCCCAGGAGAGAAGTCCTGCCCCATAGAAGGTAGCACAGTGGAAAGGACTGCTGCAGGCACTCCTGCAACAACCAGATAAAGACTTGATTACTGGGTTATGACGCAGTTTATATTTCAAATACAAAGCAGGACTTCAGGGTTGAAATCCCCAGACCAGAAGTGGGGAAATTCTTCAAGAGGCCAGGGCCACTAAATTTAGCAGCTTTCCCCCACCCTAGGCAGTTCCCAGCTTCCTGAAAAGGATAGGAGGAGAAGGAGTTTTGGGTTGAGGGGTGAGGGTAAGAAGGGAGGACAGGGTATAGGATTAGGAGAGAAGGGACAGGAGGTTGGTGGGAAGCTGAGGCTTTAGCAAGAAGATGGGATGCAGAGGGCATAGGGGTGGTTCTTGGGTATTACTGGACCTGGGTGGGGAAGGGAAATGTTTTTTCCAGGCCCACAGTAGAGAAAAGCTGGAATTTGAATAAAACAAAAGAGAAGTAATTGAGGTCTTGAGTCTGGTATCTAAATAAGCTAAGAACTGAGTCTGGAAACCCCAGGCAGGCGGCCACTTTTGGCAAGAGGCTAGCATTTCTGGGACAAGACTAGGCAAAGCAGAAAGATTTCTTGGTTCTTTTACCTGTTTTATAACAGCAGCCTGGCACCAAAGAACTTTTATCTTCCCTCACCTGCCTCCTTACCCACTCCACCCTTCCTCCCTGTCTCATCTTCCTAGGGAAAGCAGCCCCCACCTCAGCATCTCCAAGATACTCCCAATACTACCAAAAAGGGCCTTCCCCAGCTTCTCTGAATGTGATTGGCCAGCCAAGACTCTGCCTCTGCTAGAAGTTCCCATCAATTTCTCCTGATAAGACAAGCAGGCTAGGGCAGGAAGTGGGAAGGGGGAAATGAAGGCAAATTGGTGCTGGCTTGCCCTCGGCTCCACCCTATCCACAACACAACCATAAGAATTTGTGTGTACTGGTATGACTGGAATATTGTGAAAACAACTGTGTGGGAGTGTGTCTTTGAGAATAACTGGGGCCATATGATTCTGTCTATGGTTGTCTGACCATGTGAGGTTGATCGAGTGATTGAGGTGTGATTGTGAATGTGTAGCTATGGGTATGAGTACGAATGTCCGTCATTGGATGCCACTGAGGATTCTTGGCTGCCCTTATTCAGGCACTATACCTTCAGTCCCTACATCATGCGCTACCCCTCTCCCCACCTTGTCTGGCCAGGGCTTAGGAGCCCTTGGGAAATGGCTGTCCTAAAAGAGGAAGGGGTGTTTGGCACAGGGGTCTGTGGCAATGAGGGCCAAAGAGTGTCATAGGATGAGCAATACGTCTTCACCTGCCTCTGACTCACCTGATGCCCCAGATAAAAGGCATCCAGATAAAAGGTACGGGAGAAGGAGGAGAGAGAAAGAAGTATCCAGGCTGAGCAGCATGAAGGGGCCCTCACTCACCATCAGCCTTCTGCTGCTATTGCTGCTTCTGATCCCAGACCTTGGGGCAGGTGAGTGCTTGGGGGTCTAGAAGACCAGGGATCTGGGTGAATGGGGTGGAGGGGAAAGAGACCCAGGAAGTCCAGCCTCCAGCTGATGGAGGGGTTTGGGGTCAGGAGCCCTCTGAACACATGACCCCATTATTCCCTAGTAGTGCTACTGCAACCCAGTGCTACCTGCTGTACTCAGCTCTACCGACAGCCACTCTCGAAAAAGCTATTGAGGAGGGTCACCCGGGTGGAACTGCAGGAGGCTGATGGGGACTGTCACCTCCAGGCTTTCATGTGAGTTCTGCCCCTACCCCTGGTACTGATCCCTGACTCTGACCTCAGTCTCAATCCCTCATGCAGATCCCAGCCCCGGCTCCAACTAATAATTCTGATGCCAACTCAGGTTGTAATCTGGCCTCAGCCCCTACTCCCTGGACCCTAACCTAATCTCCAAACTATGACCATGACTTTGGACCTTTCCTTTCCCAGTCTTCACCTGTCTCAACGCAGCGTCTGTATCCACCCCCAGAACCGCAGCCTGGCTCGGTGGTTTGAGCGCCAAGGGAGGAGGCCCCAGGGGACTCTGCCAAACCTGAATTTTGAGCTGATAAGGAAAATGGGCCAGGACCCACAACAGCCAAAAGAATAAAGCAGTATTGAACAATAGTCTCTGGTTGTGGTCTCCAAGTTCTATGCATTCTCCTGTGAGCCCTGAATCTGAAGCTGGGAGATATGTCAATAAACAAAAGAACCTCTTCATTTTCTTTATTCACACGTTCATAACCCCCACCAGGGGCAAGGCTAAGAGCCAAGGACCCACACACACTCCCCAGGCACCTACATACATACATCCAGAGAACACATGTTCCCTGACTCACATACACATGGGCACACATGGACACAGATATACACATCTACAGACATTCTGCTGGTGGACTCTAGCTCTGGGATAAAATCAGAGGTTGAGGCACCTTTCATCTGGCAAGTTTGGAACACAGAGTCTCATAGAAATGTGCTCCAAACAAAACTTCAGCTGAGACACCTCCCCCCCCATGAAAATCCACTGTCCTGCCTGGCTTCTATCTGTCCATCCAAACCAGCAAGACAATTATAGGTGGAATCAGCTGAAATCTTCCTGGGTCCTCTATAGGTTTGGAGCTCCTAGAAAAAAGCAGAAAGCAAGTCAAGGCAGATAGTAGGACTAGATTTTGTCCCAGACACCCTGAGTATGAGGGAGGAGACCCAGCTCTGAGTGTAACACTATGAGAATGAATAGGGGAGCCCAGCTCTGAATGAGCTCCAACACCTTGAAGATGAGGGAGAGGACCTAGCTCTGGCCCAAGCACATCAAGAATAAGGGAGGGGCCCAGGCCAGATAGCTCATTTGGTTAGAGCATCATTCCAATACACCACAGTTGTGGGTTTGATCCCCAGTCAGGGCACATACAAGAAAATAAATAATTATAAATAAATAAATAATAAATAAATAAATAAATAAATAAATAAATAAATAAATAAATAAAAATCAGTTTTTAAAAAAATAGAGAGGGAACCCAGCTCTAATCCAAAATTCCCCAAGAATAAAGATAGGTATCCAGCTCTGAGCCTAACACACTGAAAATGAGGATGGAGTCCATCTAGGAGCCCCAATACTCTGCAACAGAGGGAAGGAACCTAACTCTAAGCCCAGGGACTCGAGAATGAAAGGCCCATCCCTGAGCTCAGACATCATAAGAATGAAGAGATCCAACTTTGATTCCCAATACGCTTATGATGACTGGGGCCTCTGGAACTTAATCCAGAAACCTAAAATGAGGGCACACATCTCCAAGTCCAAACCTCCTGGAGGTCCTACTCACCTGGAAGCTTGTCCACTGGAATCATCGGGGCCAAGAACCCAGACTTTTGGGGTTCATCCTTCCCATCTGGTCTCAGCCTCAGCCTGAAGCATAAAAAGACAGCTGTTTTCCTGACAATGTGGGGCACCTCAGTCTCCTCCAAAAGGGTTTATTAGTAAAGCGTCAGGAGAGGAATCAGTGAGAAACATGAAATTGAGGGAAAGAAGGGAATGTAGTTCCAGAATCAGACATGTTCAGTGGGAAGTCATGAGGGGTGGGAAACGGTGTGGTCTATGGGTATCAGAGCATCTGTGTGGGATCACAGACTAAGGCACCAACAATGGTCACTTACCAGAGGCCCAGTGCCAGAGCCCCAGCTGCCAGTCCCAGGAAAGAGAAGATTCCCAAAGATGCTAACACAGCCACCTGCTCCAGGGGGTCCCTGTGGACTGGGGGGAGGGAGGTCACATGCCACTGTGAGAGTAAGCCTGACCAAACTCAGTGCCCCCTTCTCTCTGGAACTTTCCCATCCTCTACCACCTTTGTGCATCTATCCCAGCTTACCAAGTGGCTGTAGGTCTGGCAGGAGGGAGGGCCTTGGGGGAGCAGAGCTGTCCGCCTGAGGCTCCTCCTCCAGCTGCGTGTGTGGCTGACCCCCAGCTGGTATCTCCTTTGGTAAGGGCCCTGAAGAGAGGCAACGCCTGAGAAGAATTGTCCATGTGGGGTAGGGGCAGAGACCAGGGACTGCCAGGCGAAGCCAGGGCCTGGCTTGGACACAGGGAAACCTAGGAAGTGGAGCCTGAAAGGACAGAGCCAGTTTCTGGGGATGTAGCAGGGGTGGAGGCTGAGGGACAAGGCTTAAGCTAGGACAGGGCTGCAGGCATCCAAGGCTAAAGCCTGGAATAGCAATTGCCATGCCTATGTGGCAGAGCATGTGCCACACAGCCCTGTTTGTGCCAACCTGTCCAGTTGATAGATGCTAAGGGACAGGGCCTCTGCCCTTTCCCTTGGCTCTGTCTCTTACCAGAGCTTGGAGTCCCCCAGGCCTCTGGACTCCAGGCGCTCCAGGTACCAGCATCGAGAAAGTCCCTGGCACTGACCCGCACAGCATGGGGCAGCCCAGCCACAGCGTCTGTGATCACCTCCTCCAATCCAGCCGGCTCCACCTGGCAGTGAAGATGGTTCATCATCACCAAGTTATCCAGGTTGTAAGCACTCACCCTATCTGTTCCCCAGCCCAGTCTGCAAAGAATATCCCTTCCTTCCTGTCCTGTCCCTGTCCACCTGGTAGAGTCATCTGGGCCTCAAGTAGAGTGGCTGGTGGTGTCAGGTCTACACACAGTGTTTGGAAGACAAAAGTGCATAGTGGTTATATAGACAGGCTATGCTGTCAGATTGCCTGGGTTCAAATCTTCCTAGGTAACCTTGGGCTTCTCTGTGCCTCAGTTTATTCATTTGTAAAATAGAGGTGAAAACACCTAAGTGAGATAATGCAAGCACAACACTTCTTTTCCTAGAAAGGTTATTTTTAAAAACCCACTGCTGTCTTCCCACGGATAGGCTTACATCAGAGTTACAGCCCCACAGGACAGAGGCCTGGTTTATTGGTCCCTGCTGCAACCCCAGCACCCAGCACAAAGTCTGGTCCATGGAAAGTCCCCTCTATTGGGAGGCCACAAAGCTTCAGTGACCCGCCAGGGCCAGAAATCCATGCAGAACACTCAGGAACATGAAACCAGAGACAGGACCCACAGCCCCAAATTGGGACACACTCCAGGCCTCACCATGGACCAAGCGGGATGCTGCACTGGACGGTACTGCAGCCGGAACTTGAGCAGGAAGTGGGGCTGGCGGGGCCAGGATGCAGGGTAGGTCCAGCTGGCACGTAGGCGGCGGGGGTAGCCAGGTACTGACTCTACCTGCAGCCCCTGGGGTGGGTCAGGACGCACTAAGGGTGGTGGAAACACAAAGTCAGGGCAGGCAACAGGTACCCATCCTTACTCACCACCTCCCAAGGGAAGGTGCATGTGTGCCTAAAGATACCTGAGGGAGACACTTCCAAGGGGTTGGGGAAATCTTAAGCTTGATCATCCATTAGGCTCAGGACCTGTCTGTCATACGTATTATAAAATGAGCTGAGATCTTGGAACAGGTTTTTTTTGGTTGTTTTTTTTTAAGCTTTATTGAGTGGATTAAGGAATGATTCTGCTTTCCATCCAAGGAAGAAGATGAGTTAGCCCAAATTCCAGCCAGAGCTTTAGCAGCTCCACCCCACACGCAGATCAAGAGGAAGGAGGGACAAGTAAGGTCTTCCATTGGACAGGGAAGACTTGAGATATGGCTGCCTTCAGCTCAGGGCCTAGAAGCAGAGGGGCAGCTCTGGGGCTAGGCAGCCAGGAAGGACTTGGAGGGAGGGGGTAGTGGCAACAGCCTAGCCTCTAGAGGCTCAGGTAACCCTGCCTCCTGGGCTCTGATCTCTTTGGCTTCTGAGTCTCCATAGGGGCCATCTGTGTGCCGAAATGGGGGTCTATGTTTGAAGGAACTCTTTGGGAGCTCTGGGGAGTTCTGTGTTGGGATACTTGTACTCTGGAATCTATTTAGAGTCTCTGTGGTGGGGATCTAGGGGAACTCTAGGGTTGGGTACTCACAGATGCTCTGCAAGCTCACATCCAGTAGGCGTGTGCTGGCCCCCAGGGGGTTCACCTCAGTCACATTGATCCGATACTGGCTCCAGAACTCTGCCCCATGGACCACACAGCGGGCAGCCCCTGGGGGGTCCTGTGGGCATGGCCAGGGCCCTGTAGATGGACTCATCCTAGGAGAGAGGAAGTGGTCTTGGGCTTTGGAAATGCTCATTGTGGGATCCAGCTAGAGCTCCCAGCCTCTCCCTTATGTCCTACCTCTGGCCATCAGCTCCTGGTACTGTCTTCTTCCTGTCAGGGAGAGGGCCATCTGAGGTCAGGAAGGAAAAGAGGGTGCTCCCTCTCTCTTAGGCCTTTCTCAGGACCTCCCTCCCAGCCTCCCATACCCACATTGTGCCAGCACACCTAAATATATAGACCTACACACCCCATCATGCACACACCTGTAGGAAGTAAGGTAGCGGGTGGGTAAACCGCTGACCTGGCTGGGACTCCAAGTGCAGGAGAAATTCTCATAATCAGCTGCTCGGCAGGAGACAACAGGGCGGGCTGGGGGGTCTAGAGGCAGAGGGTGCAGCTGGAGACTGAGAAGTTCCCAGTCCTCCCATTTCAAAGGGCTTACTCAGGACCTTGATTCCCTCAGAAGCCCCATGCCTCATCACTGCCACCCAATACTCCCTCCCCAACTCACAGCCCAGCTGCAGAGTCACCATGCCCCCAAGTGCACCATCCAGAGTCCGGCAGATGTAGGTACCCTCGTCAGTGCTGTCTGCCCGGGCTAGGACCAGTTCATGCCCTAGTCCAGAGTCAGGTCCCTGGAGCAGCCTTGTCTCCCCATCCCGAAACCAGGAGACAGGGGCCCTGTGGGTGAGATGAGGTGATGATAGACAGAGGGAAGGTTTACAGTGTAAGTCAGATGATGCCACAGCCTTCCATAGGCTTCTCACTGCACTTGCAATAAAACCCAAACTCCTTTTGCTGATTCGCAAAGCCCTTGGTGATTTAGCCCTTGACTTCCATTTCTTCTTCAGCTCCCCCCTCTACCCCTTCACCTACTGTACTCCCATCCTGTCCAGTTAGTCTTTTTTTCTGTTTTAGAGTGTTGACTCATTCCCACCTCAGGGCATTTGCACTGGCCTTATCAGAAATGCTTCTACCTCAACCTGTGCCTGGCTGCCGCCTTC